TTCAAAAAATCAAAACAAATGATATACTGTCATGTGAAAATATTACAACACATCATTCAAAGCCTCAAAAAGAACTATCTTGAATAATATTTGAATAAATTTAACATCGACATCTCCATATTGAGTGAGCATATATTTAATATAGACGAACCGCAAAATAATACAAGCATATGCAATTATAATATCGTGTCAAAGAAAAGACAACTGCGGAGAAGTTTTCACACTATTAAAAAGATTCAATTTCAAACCCCATTGGACATCATTATATGCCAACATACATTCGAATAGCATAACCATTTGCATCCATATACATCCCTCATTCAATTAGAGCTAGTGAATTAAAACATGAACTCGAAAAATTGCTATGCTTTCTGGAATCACGTACTAATGTACTAATCTGTTGTGACTTTAATGCAGGGCATTGACCATCGAGTCAATATTTCCAAATCCTTTTTCGACTCATCAAATTTTTATTCTCTCAATAATGAAAACTTCACCTTTAGAAAACGCTCAACTGACACAACCGGTTCTGTTTTTGATCCGCCATTTACGAATACAACGTTAACCACTTCCAGGAAAGTACAACTTTTTACATTTGGAGGAAGCCATCATTACCCCATAGTCATAAATATTGTTATCAGCAATATTACAAACCAAAGGAAATGTTGTTTAAATCTCTGAACAACACAAATATTAAGCCCCGCTTTGATGATATACATGCAACCTTCAAGGATGAAATAAACAAATCTACATTTATTTTTAAAAAAATAACCAATTTCCAAAACTTTGGTGGGACTCTGTCGTAGAAAAACCCACAGACTTCAGCTCGCAGCTCAAAAAACATACGATATGTTCAACAACAACATAAATGCTTGTAAACTTATTGAGGCTAACAAAGCTTTTAATAATGCTGTTAAATTTGCCAAAAGGAATTTCTTTAAAACCAAAATTCAGGATCTTAACAACGAACCACACTCTAAAGCACTTTTTAAATTCGTTCGCGCCCATTTATAAAACAAAATGGCCTTCTGAAAATGATAAACAGTTTTTTATCCATGTTAGAGATCAAGTTCCCAATAATGCAAGTCACGTGTACAAGTTCAAACACATCGCCAATTTTTTCAACAGAAAGAATTTGAAAATGTGGCGTTACCTATGAAATGGTTAACCATTTGTCTGACACGGCTAAACATAACTTACTAAGAACTATGAACAATGATTGGAAAGATTGCCATTTCTTTGAGGAATGGAGAAAAATCAAAATTGTCCCCATCCCAAAACAAGGCAGACATGGAAATAATCACAAACTACAGGCCAATCGCTTTGATAACAGTTTTCGCCAAAATTATAAACTTGATGGTTAAGGAAAGACTTCAGACTTTTTTAGATCAAAATAACATATTTCCCCACAACACATATGCATATAGGAAAAATCTATCCGCCTCTATGTGAATAAATGATTTGATACATACAATATATTATTATAAAGAGCAAGGTGATAAAGTCATCATTGTATCTTTAGATGTGAGTAAGACATATGACTGTTTTAACATTGAATTTATTGTCAAAATTTTGAACAAGCTCTGTTGTCCTAGCGATATAATTATGTGGATCACCAATTTCTTAAAAAAGGATCTTAATAATGGGAAATGAAAGTCTAGAGATTAATAATGGTCTACCTCAAGGAAGCTGCCTAAGCCCCACTTTGTTTAACACTTATACGCTGGGCTTACATGATATAAACAACCAATGCATAAAAACTTGTCAGTTTGCACCACACAAAGATTTTGACAGGCTAACAATATTCTTCAAAGCAAGATTAATGAATTCGTTAAAATATTAAAATCGCTTAATCTCTCTGTGAACGCCGATAAACCAGCTGTCATGTATGTGGCAAAAGGAGATAGAAAAATACAACAAATAATGTCGCAAAAATCATCAAAATACCGAATATAGAAGGTACTGTTATATGGGGGCTATACGAAGACGTGGACCTGCACAGACAGTTTTCTGTGACAAACTGTAGAACCCACTACGAACTTTAAATACCAAATTTGAAACAATTCCGGTGAATAATGCCTGTATCGTGATTTGTGGGCTGTATCGTGATTTCAACAGGCAGACAGACAGACGGACATCGTTAAATCGACTTAGAATTTTATGCTGATTATGAATAAATATATATTATATGGGGTCTACGACGAATATTTAAAGATGTTACAAACGGAATGACAAAGTTAATAAACCGTCCTTTCCAATGTGGAGGGTATAAAAATATCATTTTTGACCAATTTCACCAAAACTTGAGAAAAGTATTAAACAAGTAACAAGTAAAAAAACATTAAGTTCGGCCGGGCCAAACTTTTAATACGCTCCACCTTAGGGTAAGGAAACATTTGACAACAACCGTTAAAATGTCGAATATTGGGAGGTTTCGTTATATGGGGGCTATACCAAATCGTGGACCTACACATGCAATGTTTCGCCAACGGAGCTAGAACACATTGTGACCTACAAATACCAATTTTTAGACCAATCCGCGAAAATATGTGGCAAAAATGATCAAAATACCGAATATAGGGAGGTACTGTTATATGGGGGCTATACCAAAACGTGCACCTATAATTACAATGACTCGCCACACGAACTGGGACCCATTATGATCTACAACTACCAATTTTCAGAGAAAATCGTGAAAAAATGTGTCAAAAATCATCAAAATACCGAATATTGTGAGGTACCGTTATATGGGGACTAAACCAAAATGTGGACCTATACATACAATGTTTCGCCACACGAACTAGGACCCATTACGACCCACAAATACCAATTTTTAGACAAATCAGTGCAAAAATGTGGCAAAAACCATCATAATACCGAATATCGGGAGGTACCGTTATATGGGGACTATACCAAATCGTGGACTATACCAAATGTTTCGCTACCGGAGCTGGAACCCATTATGACCAACAAATACCAATTTTTAGACAAATCCGTGAAAAAATGTGGCAAAAGTAATAAAAATATCGAATATCGAGAGGTACCTTTATATGGGGCTATACCAAAACGTGGACCTATACATGCAATGTTTTGCCACACGTACAGGGACCCGTTATGACCTACAAATACCAATTTTCCGACAAATCCGTGAAAAAATGTGGCATAAATCATCATAATACCGAATATCGGGAGGTACCGTTATATGGGGATTATATCAAAACGTGGACCGATATATCTCATTTTCAATACCAACCATCCTAGACACAATACAAATTACTCTGCTAAATTTTGGCGCTCTACGTCAAATAATAATAATCAAATATCGTGATTTCAACAGACAGACAGACGGACATCGTTAAATCTTAGAATTGTATGCTGATTATGAATATATATACTTTATGGGGTCTACGACGAATAATTAAGGATGTTACAAACGGAATGACAAAGTTAATATACCCTCCTTTCCAAGGTGGAGGGTATAAAAAAGCTGTAAGTACGGCCTTGCCGAACTTTGAATACCCTCCACCATTTGGTACAAATTTAACAATTTTCAAAAAAATAAAATCCCTTAAAAATCTGTTAAAATCTGGAAAATACCTAATGTAGCCGTATATTAGAGTCTATACGACGATGTGGATCTGCACAGACAATTTTCTGTCATAGGCTGTAGCATCCGTTAAGAACTTCAAATGCAAAATGTGAAACAATTACGGTAAATAATGCCGCTAAAATCTTCAAAATACCGAATATTGGGAGGTACCGTTATATGGGTGCTATACGAAGACGTGGACCTACATGGCTCATTTTTTGTCTTAAGCCATAGCATCTATTATTAACTTTAAATATCAATTTTGAAACAATTCCAGTAAAAAATGTCGCTAGAATCATCAAAATACCGCATATCGGGAGGTACCGTTATATGGGGGCTATACGAAGACGTGGACTTACATGGCCCATTTTCAATACCAAAAGTCCTGCAGACATAGTACACATTTGAGTAAAATTTTATCAACCTACTTCATTTCGTTCGGAAACTAGAGTGATTTTCACAGACGGATAGACGGACGGACGTTGATAAATCGACATAGAATTTTATGCTCATCAAGAATATATATACTTTGTGGGGTCTAAAATGTATATTTCGAGGTGTTACAAACGGAATGACAAACTTAATATACCCTCCATACTATGGTGGAGGGTATAAAAATCATCCAAAAACTACTCAAAAGAAAAATGAGTCGGCAGTTGCTTGTATTTGTGCTTTTTGGCCAACTTGTCTAAATTAAGAATGTTTTTTAAATCAGCTATTTGACGTTTAAGATAGCGGTGGCATTTTTTAAAAAATGTTGCCTATCTAAGGGAAGAAGATCAATTCACAAATTCCAAACATTAGAATTTGTGAATTGATTTCGTTTTATATTAATTTTATTTTTATTTTAATTGAAAATCCATACGTTACTGAAGGTAACCATACTATTCTTGATTTTCTACCTATATTTAGTTTAGAATGATAATTAAATAAAACACTATTTAAAAACGAAATTAATAAACTAAAACGAAATTTTGCATTGTGTTATGCTATTCGAAATGAAAAATATACAAAATAATATTTTTTACTGAAGTACCATATGCCGACTACTAGCAAACAGACAGAGCCTTGGAAAATGGTGCCGACTACTGGCAAAAAGCTACTATTTTAGTAAATGAAATTCTGTCAATTTAATAAAAACAAATTCGATTTTTGTTCATTATTTCGAAAACTAAACAAAATTTGGAATCTGAACTACTTTATTTTTCTGCAATTGAAAGATTGCACTCAAAATGTTGAAAGTTTGAAAAATCGAAAATCCCTAAAGTTCCGACTACTGGTACACTTACCCTATAAATGAAACAATTATAACTAAATGTTAACAGAATTTTTTGTTTGCTTCGAATATGTCAGCTATCTTTTTGTACAATTTCGCTAAGAAAAGATGATTTATTCCAATAAAAATTAAATTTTTGTCTGTGAAGGTCCGCAGCATGAACGGTACAATCCATATTCTTAAGAAAAGTTCAATAAAGACATCGAATCCGTTTAACAAAACAAAATACAATATTTTAATAAATTAATTAATTTTTTTTTTTTGTAATGCTACGGAAGAACGAAAATGTGAAAGATTGAGATCTGAAAAACAAGTTAAATCACTTATGACTCTTTCAAATCGAAGCATAAAGGGAGTCCTACAAACCTGACCAGAATTCCACAATTATTACAACATTTCGGCTGATGGCAACTACAATTCTCAATTTCTTCCAATGAGTAAATCTTCTAATTGTATTATAAGAAACTTAAATGATGAAATTGCAGAAGAATGACTAAAATAAAGTACAGCAAAATAGCAGCTCCTCGTACCATTATCAATCATCCAGTAGCCAGTCCTATCAATGTCACACCTTCAATCCCTGTTTATGGACACTAATCCTTTACCAATGTATAAGAACTGGAAAAAACAATGCCAATTTTTACAAAACAAATGTCTCAGTTACTTACCTCGCTGAACTGCACGGAAAGTTTAGACATATTAGACAACTTCAGAAAATCCCTCTTACCAGGTCCTGCAAAAAACACAACAAATAACATGATATCAAATGAAATAGCAAATCTCCAACTTCAATTCAAAAAATTTAAATTAAAAAAATTAAAACAAATGATATACTGTCATGTGAAAATATTACAACACATCATTCAAAGCCTCAAAAAGAACTATCTTGAATTATATTTGAATAAGCTTTGTAACAATGCTGTAAAATTTGCCAAAACGAAGTTCTTTAAAACAAAAATTCAGGATCTTAACAACGAACCACACTCTAAAGCACTTTTTAAATTCGTTCGCTCACATTTATAAAACAAAATGGCCTTCTGAAAATGATAAACATTTTTTTATCCATCTTAGAGATCAAGTTCCCAATAATGCTCCAATTCAAGTCACGTGTACAAGTTCAAACACATCGCCAATTTTTTCAACAGAAAGAATTTGAAAATGTGGCGTTACCTATGAAATGGTTAACCATTTGTCTGACACGGTAAACATAACTTACTAAGAACTATGAACAATGATTGGAAAGATTGCCATTTCTTTGAGGAATGGAGACAAATCAAAATTGTCCCCATCCCAAAACAAGACAGACATGAAAATAATCACAAACTACAGGCCAATCGCTTTGAAACAGTTTTCGCCAAAATTATTAACTCGATGGTTAAGGAAAAACTTCAGACTTTTTTAGATCAAAATAACATATTTCCCCACAACACATATGCATATGGGAAAAATCTATCCGCCTCTATGTGAATAAATGATTTGATACATACAATATATTATTATAAAGAGCAAGGTGATAAAGTCATCATTGTATCTTTAGATGTGAGTAAGACATATGACTGTTTTAACATTGAATTTATTGTCAAAATTTTGAACAAGCTCTGTTGTCCTAGTGATATAATTATGTGGATCACCAATTTCTTAAAAAAGGATCTTAATAATGGGAAATGAAAGTCTAGAGATTAATAATGGTCTACCTCAAGGAAGCTGCCTAAGCCCCACTTTGTTTAGCATTTATACGCTGGGCTTACATGATATAAACAACCAATGCATAAAAACTTTTCAGTTTACACCACACAAAGATTTTGACAGGCTAACAATATTCTTCAAAGCAAGATTAATGAATTCTTTAAAATATTAAAATCGCTTCAGTGATTTTCGTCGCATTTTTGAGTTTTTCGACTTTTTACACATTTCTTTTAGATTTTTTTGTCGGTAAGTGGTATTTATAATACCCTGCCACGCACTGTGTGTATTTTACGATACATTGTAAACAATATAAAGTACACTGAAAGAAAAATTGAAAATTTTCGAGTTTCTGTATAACACTATGGGATAAAGTTAAATTCCAATTTGAAAAGTGCCTCGATTACCTACATGAAGATAAAAATTCTAATGAGGACGACATTTCAGCCGCCGACATCAAATACGATGTCGCCTACAAATGTTTTTTAAATGTTTTAGCGTCCATTAATAGAAAGTTTGGCGCACTACGGGCTCCGCCTGAGTCACCTACTGTAATTACACCAAAATCTCATGTAGGTAACGCTTCAATACCTCGTTCCGAGGATACAGCGACCGTATCAAATGCTCCGTCCATGTCTAATTATGATGTGTCGACAAAAGACTGGGATCCTATTCTAGTTTTCCTGTGTCTTCAGAGGTTACCTAAGAACTGCGTGGTGCTTTGAGAACAAAGCATAAAGAACAAATCTACTTTGTCTACGTGGAAAGATTTGGATCACTTTCTTACAGAAAGGATCCAAACTCTGACCTGCTTACGTGACATTAGGGGCATCGATTACGTCGAACTTCTAAACAATGATAAACGTTCCCTTTCTACGAATGGTGCAACGAATACATCAAATTCCGTCACGGCCCAAAGTGTCCCTCATTTCTTTAAGTTACCTCGTACATCCTCGCCTAAATCATGTGCGCTTTGTTCACGACAAAGGCATCATCTAAGAATTTGTCATAAATTCCTTAGACTTTCAGTTCCTGAAAGAATCCGCACAGTTAAGAAACACTTCTGTTGTCTTGATTGTTTGTCTCACGGACATGAATCTTCAAAATGCAGCAGCATTTACAACTGCACTATATGCAATAAACGGCATCACACGCTGTTACACATCGAGGCCACGCCTCAATCGTCTCCGACGACTTCAAATGTTAAAAGTCTAGATCAGGTAATTCTACCTACTACTTCTACCAATACTATAACAGGGTCTTCAAACCGACAGGTATTTCATTCCAACCATAGCAGAAAAATATTGTTAGGCACAGCTATGGTGCATATTGTGCACAACGGTACTACGTACCCAGCTAGAGCCTTAATAGATCCTGCTTCAGAAGCACCTTTTGTTTCTGAACGTATACAAAAAAGACACGCTTCAATCTCGGGGGTTAGTGGGTCCGTTTCACAAATTTCCCGTAAGCAATGTCCCGTTCGTATCAGTTCTCCATTGGATGCTACGCAGACAATGACAACTAATACTCTGGTTCTGCCGACAATTGCAGAAAATCTGCCATCATTTTCCATAAAACGTGACACCATTCCGCAATTGTCACGCAAATGAATTAATCCGCATAAACAATCGCTATACGGCCATCTGTACTTCATTTGCCCAGAGGCATCCCATATTGTTTATCTTGCATATTTTGAATGCCAAATCTTGAAGCAGATGCTACGCATCTATAATTATTTATATTGCTGGATCACCGATCCATAATTCACATAAATATAACCGAATGTGAGGAGCGAAATTTAATATTGAAAACGGCACTTTCGTCCGACGGCCATTTCAATTCCTTTCCCACTCCTACGGAGTTAGTTATAGTCGTCTACGCCTCCTCTCTACTTTTTCACTACAAATTTGGAAAAAATTTAGTTTAATGGCCGAGCTGCAGCCGCGAAGTATCGAACGACCTACGGTTTTGTGGTCATTCTGACCAACGTTCGTTCCTATTTACATTTTCGCTTTCTTTCTACTTTTCATATGAGTTGGAAAATTTAGAATGATGGTTGCGATGAAGGTGTGCGGATTACGTCCCATATACAATAAGGAACAACGATTTGATGGCTGCGCTGATCCCTGAAGCCCACGGCATACACAACTGATGAAGCAGAACCTCCCTCGGAGAAATTTGAATTAAAAATCCGTCTTCGATAGTCCCTGGAGTTCCTCCAGGAAAGATCAGTGGTTTCGCCACATTAGACTCGACGAGTTTAACCTTTAAAAGATCAGGACCTTCTCGAGGCATTGCACGATCTTGCTCTACGAGCGCATTCTTTCAGTTTTCATGTTACGATCGGTTCCTTTTCGGGCATTGCACGATCGTGCTCTATGAGCTCGCATGAAAAATTGAAAAAACCTTTTTTATTTTTTTGTCCATTGTTTTCATGAGACGATCAGTTCCTCCTCGAGGCATAGCACGATCGTGCTCTACGAGCTCACATGAAAATAACTACCGACTCTACGAGTACTACATAGGACTACATAGGATTACGTCCTACTGCTAAAAACCCTTTGTACGAAGGTAATATTGTTCCACGAACAGCCATCCTATGAAAAATATACAGTCCACTGCTAAGTGGGAAAAAAATATTAATTGATTGTGTTTTTATTTTTCTCCCATTTCCCTTATTTTCATTTTGCTACGCAAACAATATTAATTTTATTTTTATTTTAATTGAAAATCCATACGTTACTGAAGATAACCATACTATTCTTGATTGTCTACCTATATTTAGTTTAGAATGATAATTAAATAATACACTATTTAAAATCGAAATTAATAAATTATAACGAAATTTAGCATTGTTTTATGCTATTTGAAATAAAAAATATACAAAATAATATTTTTTACTGAAATACCATATGCCGACTACTAGCAACTGGCAAAAAGCTACTATTTTAGTAAAATTGAAATTCTGCCAATTTAATAAAAACAAATTCGATTTTTGTTCATTATTTCGAAAACTAAACAAAATTTGGAATCTGATCTACTTTATTTTTCTGCATTTGAAAGATTTTACACAAAATGTTGAAAGATTGAAAAATCGAAAATCCTAAAAGTGCCGACTACTGGTACACTTACCCTATAAATGAAACAATTATAACTAAATGTTAACAGAATTTTTTGTTTGCTTCGAATATGTCAGCTATCTTTTTGTACAATTTCGCTAAGAAAAGATGATTTATTCTAATAAAAATTAAATTTTTGTCTGTGAAGGTCCACAGCATGAACGGTACAATCCATATTCTTAAGAAAAGTTCAATAAAGACATCGAATCCGTTTAACAAAACAAAAATATAATATTTTAATAAATTAATTAATTAATTTATTTATTTTATTTATTTTTTTTTTTTTTTTTTTGTAATTCTACGGAAGAACGAAAATGTGAAAGATGGAGATCTGAAAAACAAGTTAAATCGCTTATTACTCTTTCAAATCTAAGCAGAAAAGGGAGTCCTACAAACCTGACCAACATTTCGGCTGATGGCAACTACAATTCTCAATTTCTTCCAATGAGTAAATCTTCTAATCGTATTATAAGAAACTTTATTGATGAAATAGCAGAAGAATCACTAAAATAAAGTACAACAAAATAGCAGCTCCTCGCACAATTATCAATCATCCAGTAGTCATTCCTATCAATGTTACACCTTCACTCCCTGTCTATGGACACTAATCCTTTACCAAAGTATAAGAGCTGGAAAAAACAATGTCAATTTTTACAAAACATATGTCTCAGTTAAGGTTTAGACATATTAGACAACTTCAGAGAATACCACCAACAAATAAAATGATATCAAATGAAACAGCCAATCTCCAATTTCAATTCAAAAAATTTAAATTCAAAAAATCAAAACAAATGATATACTGTCATGTGAAAATATTACAACACATCATTCAAAGCCTCAAAAAGAACTATCTTGAATAATATTTGAATAAATTTAACATCGACATCTCCATATTGAGTGAGCATATATTTAATATAGACGAACCGCAAAATAATACAAGCATATGCAATTATAATATCGTGTCAAAGAAAAGACAACTGCGGAGAAGTTTTCACACTATTAAAAGGATTCAATTTCAAACCCCATTGGACATCATTATATGCCAACATACATTCGAATAGCATAACCATTTGCATCCGTATACTTCCCTCATTCAATTAGAGCTAGTGAATTAAAACATGAACTCGAAAAATTGCTATGCTTTCTGGAATCACGTACTGATGTACTAATCTGTTGTGACTTTAATGCAGGGCATTGACCATCGAGTCAATATTTCCAAATCCTTTTTCGACTCATCAAATTTTTATTCTCTCAATAATGAAAACTTCACCTTTAGAAAACGCTCAACTGACACAACCGGTTCTGTTCTTGATCCGCCATTTACGAATACAACGTTAACCACTTCCAGGAAAGTACAACTTTTTACATTTGGAGGAAGCCATCATTACCCCATAGTCATAAATATTGTTATCAGCAATATTACAAACCAAAGGAAATGTTGTTTAAATCTGTGAACAACACAAATATTAAGCCCCGCTTTGATGATATACATGCACCTTCAAGGATGAAATAAACAAATCTACATTTATTTTTAAAAAATAACCGATTTCCAAAACTTTGGTGGGACTCTGTCGTAGAAAAACCCACAGACTTCAGCTCGCAGCTCAAAAAACATACGATATGTTCAACAACAACATAAATGCTTGTAAACTTATTGAGGCTAACAAAGCTTTTAATAATGCTGTTAAATTTGCCAAAAGGAATTTCTTTAAAACCAAAATTCAGGATCTTAACAACGAACCACACTCTAAAGCACTTTTTAAATTCGTTCGCGCCCATTTTTAAAACAAAATGGCCTTCTGAAAATGATAAACAGTTTTTTATCCATCTTAGAGATCAAGTTCCCAATAATGCAAGTCACGTGTACAAGTTCAAACACATCGCCAAGTTTTTCAACAGAAAGAATTTGAAAATGTGGCGTTACCTATGAAATGGTTAACCATTTGTCTGACACGGTAAACATAACTTACTAAGAACTATGAACAATGATTGGAAAGATTGCCATTTTTTGAGGAATGGAGACAAATCAAAATTGTCCCCATCCCAAAACAAGACAGACATGAAAATAATCACAAACTACAGGCCAATCGCTTTGATAACAGTTTTCGCCAAAATTATTAACTTGATGGTTAAGGAAAAACTTCAGACTTTTTTAGATCAAAATAACATATTTCCCCACAACACATATGCATATGGGAAAAATCTATCCGCCTCTATGTGAATAAATGATTTGATACATACAATATATTATTATAAAGAGCAAGGTGATAAAGTCATCATTGTATCTTTAGATGTGAGTAAGACATATGACTGTTTTAACATTGAATTTATTGTCAAAATTTTGAACAAGCTCTGTTATCCTAGTGATATAATTATGTGGATCACCAATTTCTTAAAAAAGGATCTTAATAATGGGAAATGAAAGTCTAGAGATTAATAATGGTCTACCTCAAGGAAGCTGCCTAAGCCCCACTTTGTTTAGCATTTATACGCTGGGCTTACATGATATAAACAACCAATGCATAAAAACTTGTCAGTTTGCACCACACAAAGATTTTGACAGGCTAACAATATTCTTCAAAGCAAGATTAATGAATTCGTTAAAATATTAAAATCGCTTAATCTCTCTGTGAACGCCGATAAACCAGCTGTCATGTATGTGGCAAAAGGAGATAGAAAAATACCACAAATAATGTCGCAAAAATCATCAAAATACCGAATATAGAAGGTACTGTTATATGGGGCTATACGAAGACGTGGACCTGCACAGACAGTTTTCTGTCACAAACTGTAGAACCCACTACGAACTTTAAATACCAAATTTGAAACAATTCCGGTGAATAATGCCTGTATCGTAATTTGTGGGCTGTATCGTGATTTCAACAGGCAGACAGACAGACGGACATCGTTAAATCGACTTAGAATTTTATGCTGATTATGAATAAATATATATTATATGGGGTCTACGACGAATATTTAAGGATGTTACAAACGGAATGACAAAGTTAATAAACCGTCCTTTCCAATGTGGAGGGTATAAAAATATCATTTTTGACCAATTTCACCAAAACTTGAGAAAAGTATTAAACAAGTAACAAGTAAAAAAACATTAAGTTCGGCCGGGCCAAACTTTTAATACGCTCCAACTTAGGGTAAGGAAACATTTGACAACAACCGTTAAAATGTCGAATATTGGGAGGTTTCGTTATATGGGGGCTATACCAAATCGTGGACCTACACATGCAATGTTTCGCCAACGGAGCTAGAACCCATTATGACCTACAAATACCAATTTTTAGACCAATCCGCGAAAATATGTGGCAAAAATTATCAAAATACCGAATATAGGGAGGTACCGTTATATGGGGGCTATACCAAAACGTGCACCTTTAATTACAATGACTCGCCACACGAACTGGGACCCATTATGATCTACAACTACCAATTTTCAGAGAAATTCGTGAAAAAATGTGTCAAAAATCATCAAAATACCGAATATTGTGAGGTACCGTTATATGGGGACTAAACCAAAATGGGGACCTATACATACAATGTTTCGCCACACGAACTAGGACCCATTACGACCCACAAATACCAATTTTTAGACAAATCAGTGCAAAAATGTGGCAAAAACCATCATAATACCGAATATCGGGAGGTACCGTTATATGGGGACTATACCAAATCGTGGACTATACCAAATGTTTCGCTACCGGAGCTGGAACCCATTATGACCAACAAATACCAATTTTTAGACAAATCCGTGAAAAAATGTGGCAAAAGTAATAAAAATATCGAATATCGAGAGGTACCTTTATATGGGGGCTATACCAAAACGTGGACCTATACATGCAATGTTTTGCCACACGTACAGGGACCCGTTATGACCTACAAATACCAATTTTCCGACAAATCCGTGAAAAAATGTGGCATAAATCATCAAAATACCGAATATCGGGAGGTACCGTTATATGGGGATTATATCAGAACGTGGACCGATATATCTCATTTTCAATACCAACCATCCTAGACACAATACAAATTGCTCTGCTAAATTTTGGCGCTCTACGTCAAATAATGTGGGCTGTATCGTGATTTCAACAGACAGACAGACAGACGGACGGACAGACAGACAGACGGACATCGTTAATTCTTAGAATTGTATGCTGATTATGAATATATATACTTTATGGGGTCTACGACGAATAATTAAGGATGTTACAAACGGAATGACAAAGTTAATATACCCTCCTTTCCAAGGTGGAGGGTATAAAAAAGCTGTAAGTACGGCCTTGCCGAACTTTGAATACCCTCCACCATTTGGTACAAATTTAACAATTTTCAAAAAAAATAAAATCCCTTAAAAATCTGTTAAAATCTTGAAAATACCTAATGTAGCCGTATATTAGAGTCTATACGACGATGTGAACCTGCACAGACAATTTTCTGTCATAGGCTGTAGCAACCGTTAAGAACTTCAAATGCAAAATGTGAAACAATTACGGTAAATAATGTCGCTAAAATGATCAAAATACCGAATATCGGGGGGTAGCGTTACATGGGGGCTATACGAAGACGTGGAACTACATGGCCCATTTTCTGTTTTATGCTGTAGTATCTATTAAAAACGTCAAATACGAAATTTGAAACAATTCCGGTAAATAATGTGGCTGAAATCATCAAAATACCGAATATCGGGAGGTACCGTTATATGGGTGCTATACGAAGACGTGGACCTACATAGCCCATTTTCTGTCTTAAGCCATAGCATCTATTATGAACTTTAAATATCAATTTTGAAACAATTCCAGTAAAAAATGTCGTTAGAATCATCAAAATACCGCATATCGGGAGGTACCGTTATATGGGGGCTATACGAAGACGTGGACTTACATGGCCCATTTTCAATACCAAGTCCTGCAGACATAGTACACATTTGAGTAAAATTTTATCAACCTACTTCATTTCGTTCGGAAACTAGAGTGATTTCCACAGACGGATAGACGGACGGACATTGATAAATCGACATAGAATTTTATGCTGATCAAGAATATATATACTTTGTGGGGTCTAAAATGTATATTTCGAGGTGTTGCAAACGGAATGACAAACTTAATATACCCTCCATACTATGGTGGAGGGTATAAAAATCATCCAAAATTACTCAAAAGAAAAATGAGTCGGCAGTTGCTTGTATTTGTGCTTTTCGACCAACTTGTCTAAATTAAGAAGGTTTTTTAAATCAGCTATTTGACGTTTAAGATAGCGGTGGCATTTTTTAAAAAATGTTGCCTATCTAAAGGAAGAAGATCAATTCACAAATTCCAAATATTAGAATTTGTGAATTGATTTAGTTTTATATTAATTTTATTTTTATTTTAATTGAAAATCCATACGTTACTGAAGGTAACCATACTATTCTTGATTTTCTACCTATATTTAGTTTAGATTGATAATTAAATAAAACACTATTTAAAAACGAAATTAATAAACTAAAACGAAATTTTGCATTGTGTTATGCTATTCGAAATGAAAAATATACAAAATAATATTTTTTACTGAAGTACCATATGCCGACTACTAGCAAACAGACAGAGCCTTGGAAAATGGTGCCGACTACTGGCAAAAAGCTACTATTTTAGTAAATGAAATTCTGTCAATTTAATAAAAACAAATTCGATTTTTGTTCATTATTTCGAAAACTAAACAAAATTTGGAATCTGAACTACTTTATTTTTCTGCAATTGAAAGATTGCACTCAAAATGTTGAAAGTTTGAAAAATCGAAAATCCCTAAAGTGCCGACTATTGGTACACTTACCCTATAAATGAAACAATTATAACTAAATGTTAACAGAATTTTTTGTTTGCTTCGAATATGTCAGCTATCTTTTTGTACAATTTCGCTAAGAAAAGATGATTTATTCCAATAAAAATTAAATTTTTGTCTGTGAAGGTCCGCAGCATGAACGGTACAATCCATATTCTTAAGAAAAGTTCAATAAAGACATCGAATCCGTTTAACAAAACAAAATACAATATTTTAATAAATTAATTAATTTTTTTTTTTTTTGTAATGCTACGGAAGAACGAAAATGTGAAAGATGGAGATCTGAAAAACAAGTTAAATCGCTTATGACTCTTCCAAATCGAAGCATAAAGGGAGTCCTACAAACCTGACCAGAATTCCACAATTATTACAACATTTCGGCTGATGGCAACTACAATTCTCAATTTCTTCCAATGAGTAAATCTTCTAATCGTATTATAAGAAACTTTAATGATGAAATAGCAGAAGAATGACTAAAATAAAGTACAGCAAAATAGCAGCTCCTCGTACCATTATCAATCATCCAGTAGCCAGTCCTATCAATGTCACACCTTCAATCCCTGTTTATGGACACTAATCCTTTACCAATGTATAAGAACTGGAAAAAACAATGTCAATTTTTACAAAACAAATGTCTCAGTTACTTACCTCGCTGAACTGCACGGAAAGTTTAGACATATTAGACAACTTCAGAAAATCCCTCTTACCAGGCCCTGCAAAAAACACAACAAATAACATGATATCAAATGAAATAGCAAATCTCCAACTTCAATTCAAAAAATTTAAATTAAAAAAATTAAAACAAATGATATACTGTCATGTGAAAATATTACAACACATCATTCAAAGCCTCAAAAAGAACTATCTTGAATTATATTTGAATAAGCTTTGTAACAATGCTGTAAAATTTGCCAAAAGGAAGTTCTTTAAAACAAAAATTCAGGATCTTAACAACGAACCACACTCTAAAGCACTTTTTAAATTCGTTCGCGCACATTTATAAAACAAAATGGCCTTCTGAAAATGATAAACAGTTTTTTATCCATCTTAGAGATCAAGTTCCCAATAATGCTCCAATTCAAGTCACGTGTACAAGTTCAAACACATCGCCAATTTTTTCAACAGAAAGAATTTGAAAATGTGGCGTTACCTATGAAATGGTTAACCATTTGTCTGACACGGTAAACATAACTTACTAAGAACTATGAACAATGATTGGAAAGATTGCCATTTCTTTGAGGAATGGAGACAAATCAAAATTGTCCCCATCCCAAAACAAGACAGACATGAAAATAATCACAAACTACAGGCCAATCGCTTTGATAACAGTTTTTGCCAAAATTATTAACTTGATGGTTAAGGAAAAACTTCAGACTTTTTTAGATCAAAATAACATATTTCCCCACAACACATATGCATCTGGGAAAAATCTATCCGCCTCTATGTGAATAAATGATTTGATACATACAATATATTATTATAAGAGCAAGGTGATAAAGTCATCATTGTATCTTTAGATGTGAGTAAGACATGCGATTGTTTTAACATTGAATTTATTGTCAAAATTTTGAACAAGCTCTGTTGTCCTAGTGATATAATTATGTGGATCACCAATTTCTTAAAAAAATTTTGAACAAGCTCTGTTGTCCTAGTGATATAATTATGTGGATCAGCAATTTCTTAAAAAAGGATCTTAATTATGGGAAATGAAAGTCTAAAGATTAATAATGGACTACCTCAAGGAAGCTGCCTAAGCCCCACTTTGTCTAACATTTATATGCAGGGCTTACATGATATAAACAACCAATGCATTAACAATATTCTTCAAAGCTAGATTAACGAACTCGTTAAAATATTAAAATCGCTTAATCTCTCTGTGAACGCCGATAAACCAGCTGTCATGTATGTGGCAAAAGGAGATAGAAAAATACCACAAATCAAAATAGAAGGAGTATCAATTAACTCAGTTGATACAACTAAATTTCTTAAAAGGCACATACAAAATAGTTAGCAAAGAAACGTTTTGAACGAATTGGAAAATGTTCAAAAAATAAAATCCATAAACAATTCTGTTAAGATTTTAAAAATACCGAATATAGCCGTTATAATGGTGTCTATACGACGTGGACCTACATAGGCTTTGTTTGTCATAAGCCATTACCATATTCAAATTCGAAACTTGAAATAAACGGTGAATAATGTAGCTAAAACCATCAAGATATCGTATATAGGGAGATACCTTATATCGGAGCTGTGCGAAGACCTGGTCCAGCATAGACAACTTTCTGTCACAGGCTGTAGCATCCATTACGAACTTCAAATACGACATCTCAAACAATTTCGGTGGTTTTTGTACCTAAACTCGTCAAAATACCGCATATAGGGGGGTACTGATATATGGGGCCTATACGAAGACCTGGACCTGCATAGACAATTTTCTGTCACAGACTGTAATTCCTATTACGAACTTCAAATATTAAATTTTAAACAATTCCGGTGAATAATGTCGCTAAAATCATCAAAATACCGAATATAGTGAGGCTATACGAAGACAGGGACCGCTAAATCGGTCGCAATACTTTGCTGCCAAAGAGTTATTCAAATTCAAAATGTTTCACTGGAACACATATGAAAAATCACGTATTACCCATCTAAGAAAACAAGTCTTGGCATGATATACAATAAGTTCAAGCAAAATAAGTTCAAGCTCATTTTTGACAACACCAAAATAAGTCCTTCTAAGTGCTTCTAAGTGCTATGAACATTTTTAATGCTGGAAAAAACACGAAATCAACAGAATATTTTTATAGTATTTACCTCGAAAAATTAACGAGTTCAAATCTAATAGCACGTCAATAGGGGCGACCGATGCTTCGGTTATTGGAAATGCAACAGGTTGTGGAGTTTGCAATATCATCGATTCAAAACCTTTGTTTGCGCCAATGCGGGGAAAGGGGGAATATGCAAAGCAAACCAATACAAAATAGAATAAATAAAAAAAATGATAGTGGTTAGTTTTATAATATAAAAAATAAGGCAAAAGCCAAGGTTTATTGATAAAAAAATATAAAGGTTTTGGTAAAAAATATTACCTTTTTGGGCAGAGAGCCTTCGTTCGTATCGGGGCGATAGAAGAAGAGAGTGATTAACAACAAAACAACGATCCCAACATGAAGTGAGGCGGCGTTGGCGCCATTCGCCACTCGTTGAAATTTGTTGACATTGACAGATTTCAACGATGTTAATCATTTACAAGTAGTTAGGCAACATATTGAGATGTTTTAACCAAAATACAATACATAATTACATTTTTCAACTTTTTTTCCAATTCAATTCCCTTTTTTTCTTTATTTTAAATTCAATTCGTTTTCTTTAAAAAACATTTTGTAACACTATATGTTACATATGCCCGACAATACCCTCCTAAATATGGTGTAGTGGGCTATCGGTAACCCTGGTGTCCCATGCACCCGATGTGTTACGACCCTGGAATAGACTTCCGGCCCAAGTACAAGGGCCACCCGACCAGGCCTATTAAAATCGGGCTCTGCCAAAGGAAGACCAAGAAAGGAGTCTTTTATGCGCTCTGGGATTGCCGCTGTAGGCGTACGCGCATGGTCTAGATGGGTCACCACAGCCACAATTGACAAGGACTGACTCCGGTCGTATATGGAGGTGAGATTAAGCCTACATATATGGCTACCATCGATTCTAGAAGTAGGGATACGAATACTATGCACCAGAGAGGAGCATATCTGACTCTGCCTACTACATTGGTCCAATACCGCAATCACGATAGAGGGACGGCCAAAAGCATCAACTTTGGCTAACAAAGTCGGGGAAAGGCAGATACCAGACTGGAGGGACATCAAGCTGACCAGTCCTACATGCGAGGGGGAAGCATTTTCAGTCGGACGATAGTATGGACTATGACGCGAACGGTGCCTATAATCCGTATGCGGATGACGCCGACTATTACTTATGGGTGTAACCACGGTCTTCAAATCAACGTGAAGAAGATTGTGGCGATCTTCGTTGCATACGGCACACTTTCTTTTACTTTGACAGTCCCTGACTTGGTGGGATTTCGCTAAACACCGTATGCAATCATTAAATTCAACAACAATTCTACGTCGCATGTCAACATTTTTGACTCGGAAGTCGCTACATCTATCAAGCGGGTGCAAGCGATCACAAAGGCGATATTTGTGTGAGGCCGCAGATGAATCCCGAGAGGATTCGGACAATGTGGTCTCAGTGGGGGGACAATCCGGGGTGGCATTACCGTCATCCACGTTCAAGAGATCGTCTTCGGCCCAACTTGGTGGTGGACCGTCTTACAACGCCGTTCTCGGTTCGGACGTCCGCGACTTGAACGTTACCGGATGAACATTTACGACACGGCCTAATTTCCACGACGTTGGCGGAAGCTGGTCATGACGAACAACAACTAGATTGTCTATGGATATCTCGCGCTCTGGAAACTTCCATTGTGTAAATGTTTCAAATATTCCTCTTTCCACCTCAAACTAAACTGGTGGGCGAGGGCCTGAACTTTCTTAGACCGATTAACGAAGTTTAATGGTTGCTCTGTGATGAGAGGTTCAGGCGTTGCTAACAAAGGGGGTCCAAATAAGGGAATGTCTTGGCGTCGACGCGACTATTTCGTCAGAACTGTGCGACATCGAAAAAAAAAACTTTTCCAATCAGCCTCAGTAGCTGTTAAAAGTTAATCTTCTCCGCTGCAACAATCATTGGGGGATGAAACATTTTCGCAAAAGCCGAAAGAACTTCCCTCTTAGTTTAACTGGGGTTATTAACCGTAGAGTTAACTGCAAAGTAGACAAAAAATCTAAAATCAAATTTCACCTAACGCCCACAGGTTTGTGACTACTAGCTCCAACATACGATAATAATTGAGCGTCAACCAAAAGCTCAGGGGGGATCGATCCACAAATGCTCTATTATTGGTGGTCCTGTGCTGCTGGTATAGGACCCGTGACAAGCCAGCCGAACACTGAATTTTGAGCCAGCTAAGCTCCAGACAAAAACGAACGAAAACCATCTAAAACAATATTGGGGTAAAGATCGGCTCCTAACTCCAAGCGAATGTCGGGGATTCGGGTTCTCAAGTCAGAATTGGCCCCAAATGACGGAAGATTTTCTGAAATAGTAGGCAACACTAAAACACTTGTTTCTAATGCCAAAGAATTATCGAGTGGACTTTACTTGCAGAAGCCGAGAGGGAACGATTAACTCCTGACACAACAGCATTAGCAGGATATACGGGAAGCTTGAAACGATTTTGGAGTCGCTCTGAAATAAAAGAGGACTCTGACGCAGGATCTATTAGCGCCCTAGCAGGATACAAACACCTTGGTGAACGATATTCACAACCGCCGTACCTAAAAGTACAGATTTGTTCTGTGCGGTGTGGAACACCTGGCGGGGTGATGTTGCATTATTTCCCAAACTAGATGGACTGGAACTCGAATTTTGAGGGACATCAGATGTCGAATTACCCAATGTAATATCTTCCCGATGTAACAATGTATGATGTGCCTTATTGCACTTCGAACACCGATGTTTACTATCACAATTCTTTACTTCGTGACCATAACGAAGACAATTTATACAAAGGTGATGACGTTTCATAACTTTATACCTATCAGCGAATTTTAAGCTCTTAAAACGAGGACAGTCATACAATTTATGACGTTGATTTCGACAAATGACGCAATTTGAATTTTTGTCTATTACAAAACCGTTTAGATTGATCGGTGCCACGCTTGTCATGAATACACATGAGCGTACGAATTTGCTCGGTGAGGAAGGCATCCAAGTCTTTCCAAGATGAAAGAGAGGATTTATCATTCACACTCTGTTCCCAAAGAGTCTGAGTTATTTTTGGCAGTAGTTGGAGACACAAAAAAACAATAAGTGGATCCCAATTTTCAGTTCAGACTTCATAAATTGCCATCGAAATTAAAAAAAAAACATTTATACCGCGTTGGATCGTCTTTAATCCAGAATTAGTCTCACTATAGAGAACGGGAATATCGAATAAAACCTTCAACTGGTTATAAACAAGAAATCGAGGATTGTCATAAGTTTCGATCAAAGCCTTCCAAGCAGGCGCAAAACTACGATTAGTTAGTAGAAACTTTGACACTATCTCGCGAGCTTCCGCTATCGTCTTCCAGACCAAATGACAAAGTCTTTCAATGTCGCTTAGACGAGCATTATTAATGTACACAGCGGTAAACAAATCCCTAAAGGCTGGCCATGAGGGGAAATCGCCTTCAAAAACATCTATATCACAAGGCGGCAGTGCCAGATTATGTACAACATCTGAATTTGAAACAAAATCTAAAGTTCGAAAACTCGCACTACTATTCCCCACAATAGAGGTAAGCGAAGTCTGAATTCGGGAAGGATTTTCGAGCGATGCCTGATTCGAAACATTCAATTGGTTTCGCGTATCAAACGACATTTTCGGCTGAATTGGATTAGTGGATATTTCTAGGGTTTCACCCGAGGTTTCTAACAAAGACGCTACAGAACCACTAACGCTTGAATTAATAGAAGAAGAACGATTTCTTTTAAATTGATCTAACTTCCTATTAATTGCAGCCTGGGATCGCAAATAGAGTTGGAAAGATGCATTATATTTTTGATCGACATCATCTATTACTTCTTTTGACGTCTCTACAGACGTCATCATAAAATCACAGCCTTTTTCAAACTTCTGCTGCACTCTTTCCCACAAGTTTTCTAATCCATTGATTTGAGATTGTAAAGTCTGGAAGTCTAATTCTTCGTCACGCATAGATTCAAAACTAGAAAAGCTCTGATAAACATATCAATTGGAGTGAAAGGCATTTTGAAAAGTTTTTAAGAAGTCTCTACTACAATAAGTAAGGGAAAAACAAATAAAGCACAATTTGCTATAAAAAATTAACCGAAGCCAAAATATACAAAGGAATAAGAACGCAAAATTATCAACAAACTCAAAAATTTCCAAAATACCATCCAAATTGGTTAAATATTCAAGGAACGTACCGAAAGATGCCAAGAATTAACGGAAACCGCACTATAGGGCCAAAAAAATTTATATAATTTTAATAATTTTCTAAAAATAATTAATTCTCCAAAAACCGTATTTTATATATATATATATATATATATATATATATATATATATATATATATATATATATATATATATAAAATAAAAATAAAAATAATTAATTCTCCAAAAACCGTATTCTCGCGCACAAAAAAATAAAATATTTTAATTTTTACTATTTTCTAAGGAAAGTTACCTACAATTTAGGAAACTAATTTTTATTTCTCCAGGTTCTAAAGACAGTTCGGCATGCCAGTGTTTTTTTGGTGGAGAAAATGAGAGAAGTTTGTGCCTTTTGATATCGACAATAGTCTATAATTTCTAACCCATTCATCCCATAGGGCTTCATATAATTCCGCATTGTTCCCGATTGGATTCCAATATGGGAAAAGAAAGATGACTTATATTTATTTATTATTTATCTTACTGATAATTGTGTTTCTAAATAGTTGAGTGATGTGTTATTGTAACCAGGCATTTTTGCTATCGGTCAGGATTACCGCCCTTTGAATTTCATCTTCTAAAATAAGGTCTACGGCCTTGTTAATAGCGTTAAGTTCACCCATAAGTGATGAACATTTGGAGTTAATTTTAAAAAGGAGGTTGTTTAATTTAGATTGAAAATAAGTGTTTTGCTGCGTTAACAATTTAATTACTTGTAAATGATTAACATCGTTGAAATCTGTCAATTTCAACAGATTTCAACGAGTGGCGAATGACGCCATCGCCGCCTTACTTCATGTTAGGATCGTTGTTTTGTTGTTAATCACTCTCTTCTTCTATCGCCCCGATACGAAAGAAGGCTCTCCCCGCTATTGTGCAAAAAGGTAATATTGTTTACCAAATCCTTTATATTATTTATCAATAAAGCCTGGCTTTTGCCTTATTTTTTATATTATATAACTAACCCCACTATCGTGTTTTTATTTATTCTATTTTGTATTGGTTTGCTTTGCATATTCCCCCTTTCTCCGCATTTGCGCAAACATTGGACACTTCGTACCGGATTACGAGCCCTTGGTAAAAAGAAGTTAATCGTTTCTTCTTTTTTTCTACTTGTAAAGCAAACTTCATCAACACAACAAAAATACAATCCACGCACTCATCGTCATCCTCATCATGATCTATTTTCTATTAAAAACAACTAGGTACGTACAGTGAAAAAGTGCCTTGTGAAATTAAAAAACAATATTCTCTAAGGAAAGAATTTTCGGAAAAAAATTGTGTAAAACAACAACAAATCGTCTCGTTTATTTGTTCAGTGGCCGTTTTACAACGCGTCGCGTACCTCGTTCCCCGCCGACTAGTTTTGCAAATATTAGTTGTGTTCCAGAACCTGCAAATTAGTACTAATTAGCACTAATTCTGCTACAACGCGTTCCCGTACTCCAAAAACTAGCAAAACTTGCTGCTCTCTCGAGAAAAAAATGGCGCTGAGTGGTGCACATTTTTGCTTGTTTTAGCTACATGAATTTGGCCGAGCAGAAATGTGCATATTGTAAATTTGACATTTAATTGGCAGGGCTAACAAGGTTGAAAAATGTATTGATATATTTCAATAAAGAAAGTGATCAACTTGAAAACTAAAGGAAAAACTAACATTTGTCGTGCAAAAAACAAAAAGAGAAAATATGGAGCAACTGATGTATTCACTTTTGGATGATTCCAGCAGTGAAGAGGACTGGCTGAATGAGGAATCGGATTATTAATTATTATTATAAATTATAAATTTTAACTTATAGTCTTCAATACTCATTTTTTAAATGTTGGCGCTCTTTTCAGTAAGGTTTCACCAGTCCGATTTAGGCTGTTTACTTTTGGAATATTGAATTTTGACATTTTATCGCATTTCTGCTAATTTTCCGTTCCCTTATTTTTTGAGCAAACCTAAATGAGAATGACATTTCGAACTGTTCTCTCTTCTGCTGGTTTTACTACTAAAAAAGTACTGGAACACAACTATTGTTTTGCCGTCGGCATTCGAAAAAAAATCATAGAAAACAAATAAAGCAAAATAATTGTAAAAAAGTGTATTTTTCTAGTGAAAATAAAATATTGTTGTCGGGTGTCATTTTAATGTACGCTAAATTTCCTATCGATCGGTATAGTTGAAATTAGAAAATTGTTAATTTTTTTGCGAAATTTGCATTCTTTGTAATTAAAATATTATTAAAAATCACCCCCAAAAAATACACGCAGCGATTACATTGGTTTGTTCGGTTGTTCGCTAACAATCGATATACAAACATACAAACGCAGTAATGGGCCCACGGCTGATGATCACTGTTTGGTCGGTAAGCCACACATAAGCGTATACATACATACGTTTGATCATGGTACAATGAAGAGAAGGTAGGCCAAGTTTGAAAAAATTGCAAGTATAGAGGTCTACCTGTTTGGCTTGTAATGTCAGAATTAGTATCAAAACAATAAAAAAATCATACAACTTGTTGCATTTATTTTGAATAAATAATTGAAAACCGCGAAAACTGAATGAAAGGTCAACACTTCTTTTCAAAACCAGGTTCTATATATCTATAAAGGATTATTTCGCTACAAAAACTCTAGATTTTGTTGATGCATACGATGAAATAAACATTTTGAAAACATCCGAATTTGAATGTTTTCTGAACAATTCTTTTGTTATTGAAAAGAAAACGCATACATAAACAAATAAAGATGACATATTAGGCCAAGAAAATGAAAAAATTGAAATCATATGGTATAATAGCCCTACCTTGATATCATTGTACCATGCGTTTGATATTTTTCTATCGTTCGTTGCATTACAGGTGAACCGTGATAAAACGCCCTGTAATATAATATATGAAATATTTTTGATTTTTGTTTTGAATAATTATTAAAGATAATTGGGTGTAAGAAAACGACGGTTTGGAAAAAATAAATAACGCGTGCACCCTACGATCGGTCAATACGACTTTTTGAGTAAACAGTGTTAAAATTGATATTTTTCGTGTGGAATTTGAAATTTTTAATTAATTTTGGAGGTTTTGCTCAGAAATTTTATTTTTGGTAAATATTTATTGGAAAATCACGCTACATTTGGTAGTTTAGTTTCCTAAATTTTAGGTAACTTTCGTTAGAAAATAGTAAAAATTAAAATATTTTATTTTGTTTGTGCGCGAAAATACGTGTTTTGGAGAAATACCGGTAAAATATAATATTTTTAGAAAAAAAAAAAAAAAAATATATATATATATATATATATATTCATCCCATAGGGCTTCATATAATTCCGCATTGTTCCCGATTGGATTCCAATATGGGAAGGAACCCACACAAAAGTAAGATGACTTATATTTATTTATTATTTATCTTACTGATAATTGTGTTTCTAAATAGTTGAGTGATGTGTTATTGTAACCAGGCATTTTTGCTATCGGTCAGGATTACCACCCTTTGAATTTCATCTTCTGAAATGAGGTCTACGACCTTGTTAATAGCCTTAAGTTCACCCATAAGTGATGAACATT